TTGGTACTGTTAATCAAATCCTCAAAAGGCCAAAAGTTACACTTTACAGGCACCAAAACCCAAGAGCATCAATCCACAAAAGCAAAAAAGAAGCAATTTAAAAATTTAATAGACATGCATAGGTATTAAAGACCCATAGTACTGTCATATTCGTGAGGGATCTGACATCATCATACTCTAGTTTAACTCTTGAATTCATTCTGGGTGTGTGTGTGTGTGTGTGTGTGTGTGTGTGTGTATGCATGCATGTGTATTATTTTCAAGCACCAGGATTTAGAAGTGGAATAATTTCTACCTTTTAAAAAACAAGCACTCTTTTCATAATCTGAATGAGAAGTATTAATTTGTACATATGAAGTAAAACTGACAGTAACACAGTAAAAATAATAATTCTAATGATATAATATAAAATAAAATGGAATATCTAGGCACCCAATCTAATCAGAGGAGGAAAAATACATAAATGCAAGCTATCTCCTTCCAGCCCTGATTTCAGATGCCTCAACTATTATATGAATGCTATGCCAAAATATACTCAAGTATTAACAATAACCTCCTCCTGGTAATATGGGGAATGAAGGTGATTGTTGAAGGAAAATGCAAAGAAGTGCAAAGAAAAGGTGTTCTAAACTACTATACTTCCACACTTTTTTCCTAACAGGCATTGACAGATTGGCTTGAAAAACGGAAGTTTAATGTCCTCTTAAATACAAATGTTGATTTTACAAATTATTTCTAGCTAAAACTCAGATTACATTTCCATCACTTATGTATAAACTATGGGCCTTAATCTTCACCCCACAATCTGTTCTCATCAAAGCATACCACTAGAACAGGAAAGCAAATCATGCAGAGAAGACACATTTTGCTGATTTGCAAACTGTACATCTGACACTCAAACCAATTTGTTCCAAGCACAGGTACAGTAACACCTAGGATTCTCATGCTACTTACTGGGATTTCAGAAGCAGCAGATTGAGAAGCAGTCTATTGAATTATACAACAAAAAATTGTTTTAAACTTTCATAAATTCCACTTGAACATTTCTTTGTTTATATATTATCTAAGTTTCAAAGAAATATACCTGCATATATGTAAAAATATAGTTTTGGAAAAAAACTAAGAATGGAAGCAATTCATACCTTAAATGTTAAAAACGAACTCTATTACAGAGATGAGATTGTTTACCCTAGGAATTGGAACCTTGATATTTAGTGAATATGTGTAGATTAAGGTAATGATGTTCATGGTATCTAAATMTACTGACACATTTTACTCAATGTGCTGTGAAATTAAAAGAGAATACATGATATCAGGTAGCTTTTTAAAACTTAATGGCAAGTCATTTTCTAAAGTGATAAATGATGTAAAGTGGGGCATGCTACAACACAGAAAGGCACATTTCGATACTGATGGCTTAAAGATTATTACATCCAAATCAAACATATTTAACAGGGGTTTCTTGATCTCCTATRTTTTACTAAAGTATTTATTTGCTGAGGAAAGGACAAAGGGAGGGAGGTGAGAAACAACACTRTCAATAACCCTCTGATCTCCACCCATGTCTGATGCAGGAGAAGTCATTATTTCCTGGAATAACTTGAGGTTCCAAAAATCTAATGCTATGATGAGATTAACATATTAGTATGGAGAAAGGCTGATCTATCTAAATAGGAAGTGTTTATAGACACYACAATGTCAAAATATTTTTGCACAACCATCTTTTTGTGCAAAGCCATTATTTTGGGCTTTTAAGTGACATGTAGGCTCTAAGCCTTAGAATTATAATGCTAGAGAAAACATGTATATGAGGAACTGGGTCCAAAAGTAAGAGCAGTGGTAAGTTTCCTTAAGCATAATACTTCATCTGTAAAAGGGASCCACAATTCCAGTAAACAACCTACACATAGAGCTACTATTTGAGACAAAAACCACACACACACAAAATATACAGGCCTATTCCCATATAAATACATTGTTTTAAAATGAACTATAAATTCAAAAAGGGGAAAAATTGTTCAAAGTCTATTTCAAATTCATAGTAACTTCAATTAACTTAATATCTATTARATAGCAAAACATCAGGAAACAAGCTGGATCCTGGAGATACAAAGATGAAAACCAAAAAATTACAATATGCCTAGTAAATATTGTAAAGATATGTTCAAGATAAAGAAGAGGCCACATGACTATAATTAACTGTCAGGAAAGGAATGAGSACTGAGCAAGGCTTTTTAGAGGAAGTTGTAACCTGAAGTGGGTTTTGAGAGATGAAGAGATGTTTGCTGAGCAGGAAAGAAGGGAGAGATAAGAAGTAAAACTGAAGAGAAGTATGAGGTATGACTGACCAGTCCAGGGAGGCTGGTTTTACTGGTACAAAAGGTGAGAAGAGGGAAGAAGAACGTAGAAAAGCTAGCAGGGACTCAAAGATCACTGTCTTACATCATGCAAAGTAATTTGATTTTCATCTTAGAAACAAAAAAGAAACACTGAAGGGCTTTAAGATAGTGAATGGCAAGACTCTCCAACCAACCATTCCCAAAATAGATCTAAAACCAGTTAAAACCCAAAATGCTGATAATACAGTATGGCATGGGAAAATGCAATGACATGAAACTCTATTATTTTCACATGCAATTTACTTTTACTGAAATAACTTCATTGATTCCATCCATTTAAAACACTGAAAGAACACAAAATTAAATTGTGTAGTTCTATTAATTATTACTTCCATAGTAGATGACGGGAAATTTTTGATGGCTGAGATTTTAGAATTTCCACCTTTTCTTTTCCATCGTACACTCAAATTCAAATGGACCCTCCTGATCATAATGCTATATGGTATGGAAGATAAGTATCGCCTCATTCCTTGATGAATTTGGCACATACTTTTAACTGATGGACAGAAAATTGATGTAACAGCCAAGATTGTAGCCCAAATCTAGAATCCAGAGGAATTCAGGTCAAAAGGGCTCCTGGACATAAATGCTTAACTACAAAAAGAGATTAGATTAGGTTAAATTAGATAACACATACTAAGAAAATGGCAGCCACTGACTCATGGTAAATCAAAGAGGATTTGGGTAACTTTTGGACTGGTAAGTAAAATGAATAAAAGTTACAGATCTCAAAGAACCACAAAATGAAAACCAAAACACAATCTGAATGGGATATAATACTGACCTCTTATTAGGTGTTAAAATATATTTCTCTGTGCTAGCACTGACATGCAGAAAACCACAATACTAGCAAATGAAGAATGCATTTGTTTTGTGCAAGTACAACTTTTGTGCCTCTGTGGGTTTCATTTAAATCTACTAATGACAGCAGTACACTGAAAGATCCAGTTCACTGAAAAGACCCTCATAATTGAAAAAGGGTAAGTATACCCTTGAGAATTCCTTTTCTTCGGTAATATATGGTCCATTATGCAAATAAACATTGCACTTAACATCTATACTTATACCACTTAGGAGCCATTAGAGTAACTTCATCCTATAATGAGTCTGCAGTGAGCTCAAAGCACATATCATCTGACATTAAGGCCCAGGAAGTAGTTGGTAACTACTAACAATTAAGGAATAAAAGCTTATTCAGACTCTGTACTTTTATAAAGCTTAACATAAGGCATTACTTAGTGCAAATTATTCAGTTTTAACTAAACATTGAACACCTCAGCTGACAACTAAATACATCATTTTAAATAAGGCATAAGAATTGCTGACTGACTAAATGTCCTTCAAGTGCAAAACAGAGAAAAGCAGAGCACACAATGCTCGCACACACCCAAATCCTGTATGTCTCTGAGTACACTACAAAGTTTTTTCAACTTAAACTTTCTATGTCTACCTTAGAGACAGTAGTTAGTAATCACTTACATTAACAAGAGACTCCTTGAACTTGATGTGAAGTCTATAATTTGAAAGGGCAATGATGGCATCCTCAGCACGACCCACATACTCTGTGCTCTCTCCATGAAGTTCAAGGRAAGGAACCTTCAAAATGAAGAAACTCAGAGTTCTGAAGCAATTAAGGCCAAGTCTTTAAACAAAGGTCGAGTGAATAGATAGTGCATCCTCTTTAAATGGACAGTCATCCAAGTTTAAAGTACACTACATAAGTAAAGAGGACGAGATTATACCCCCTAATTCAAATATAATTATTCAAATCCTGGACTCCTAAAAAAATGATAGAGAACATCATCTCAAATAATGAATTCTAAGAACATAAGTCTTGCTACAATGGYTTCCAGCTTGCATTTCTATAGGTATGGCTTAAAAAAATATATGTTTATAAGTCCATCCCTTTAATCCATTAGCTCTGCTACATCATTACTATGATGCTAAATACATATTACAATCCAAAGTGGCCTATGATTACCTGAAGATTCTCATCCTCCCGAATCAGCTGCTT